TTATGTATAGTCCTCTTTCAGCAACAAATTTTGTTAACAGATTTTCCATCTTTACATTAATGTCGTACGAATGTCGACCGAGGTTACGCTTACGCAGTACCGTAGAATTAATCCGTTGAGGGCTGTCTATTACCTCATTCTGAGGTATTCCCAGTATAATACCTCTATAGACACTCGATAGAATCCTACAGCAATTATTATTAGCGCCGCCTCAAAAGTGCATCAATACGAATGTTACTCACCCCAACATCAACGCATTGCAGCTGATAATCGAACGTAAGCTCTTAACATCACGAATCGCAAATAATCCACACCGCTCTTGCCCACGTACATTCCACTTCTCTAATTGGCAATTTGGGTCGCAGCTATGGTTCACAAACCGCATATATCCATCGATTCGTGTGGCATCAATAACTTCATCAGCGCTTACCTGAAGCATGTACACATGTTTCATCTTTTGATAATCCTAAACATTAAAGTCAATTGACCATTTTGCACAGCAACAGATAGCTTCAAAACCCGCACCTCACAGCGCATCATGGCTTCACTATTGCTCAGCACTTCACCAACATACTCCCCCACGAATTGTCCAACTTTGACGTGATCACGCCGAGGCCTTTACGGCCACAGTCAATTACGCCTGTCACAAGTGCCGAACCAATTTGTAATTGCCGATTCGAGCATCGTTTTCCACATGGACAGCAATCCGCTCCACATTCATACCGCATCTGCCATACCTCTCGTCAGTAATATCAAAATATAATTTGCCATACAATTCCTACACCACGTACCGCGCGGTTGATGCAGTCAGTACCACATCCATACTTTGTGTCCTCATTAATTTTACAGTTGCAAACCGAGATCTCCCCCTGATACGTGAACACAAACTGTTACCAACGGAGTCAAAACTGTCAACATAATGTCGCTTACCTTCGGACATACAATCCACTTGCCCCCAACAGCAACGTTTTCCGCTACAATGCGCACTGACTTGAACGCTCCCTCCATGTGCGCTATCAAAACACCAATACTGTTAGCAACCCATTGTCTAAATCACCGCGTCATTATTGGATTCAACAACGACGCCACCTCTCTCACATGCGCGTTCATATTGAAGAATTCATCTTTAACGCACCGCAACTCCCTCCCACATGTAACATGGAGCTTATTATCATAACTGGGGTCCGGACCGGGACCGGCACATCTCATATGATAACAGGAATTATTACGACACAACAGGGTAGATAAATAGTTATCATGATCTCAGGTCTTAACGGTTCTGATTGGTTGAATTTAGTTCTAAATTTGAGGGCGTCGAGCAGGTACGTCGAGCAGGTAGTTTGAATTTGTAGAAGGAAACTTTTGAAGAACCAGTTACCATGACGGAAGAGGCACGGATGTCTGTGGAGTTGAAGGAGTCTGTACAACGAACGTATGATAAAGCAGTGAAGTCAAGACCTGAAAATACTCAGCGTGCTTACGGGAAGCGTCAACAGGAGTTCATGCAGTGGTGTACTGCGAAAGGAAGTGCTTTCAACGAATTCACGCGGTTCACGGTGACTGGAGAAAAGTTGCATCTCTTTTTGGAAGAGTGCGTCATCGGAAGAGCAAAACGTCACCGTGGATCACAAAATCAAGACAGAAGAGAAGTCACAGTTGGGCGTTCGACAGTGAATAGCTACGTCGCCGCGATGGTTGACCTGTGGAAACAGCAAGCTAGGGCTAAAATCAACAGCCATCCTTCTCCAAGAGACGATGCTGTTACCGCGTTGCTCAAGCTAACTCAGTCCGAAGAAGATAATTATAAGAGGAAGAATTACGAAGATCGCGGTGCTGACACTCTTTTAGCTACACTGCAACAGAACAAATTCAACAAGTTGCTAGCTACTTCTGGGATACAAAAGGTGATTCTGGGACTAGTTTGCGGAACCTGTTGGCTTTTCTTCTAAGTCACTACGCACTAATGAGGGGAGAATCAGTTAGAATGCTGGAGCTGGCCGATCTGCACTCTATTCCGTTGGAGAACGAAGGCTACAATCCCTGTCGAGCTTTGGTAATGGTAATGGGTCAAGGCAAAACCAACCAAGTTGGTCGTGTTGAAGTGGGTGCGTGTATGCGTCACAAAAACGTGCGTTTATGCGGTCATGGTATGCTGGCAATTTACCTGTTTTGGCGCTGGCATGTTGATGGAGAAAATTTTCCAGATTTTACGTCCTCCTCTTGTTGGTATGATTTAAAGCCACTCAAGACAGGCAAGGATCCTACTAAACCAATGTCTTACAAAGTACACCACGACGCTATTTCTTCGGCTTTAAAGTATGCTGGCATCCGTAGTAAAGCAAAAACCCACGTCGGTCGCGGTTCTGGATCTCGGATGGCCGATCTGGGTGGAGCAAGTGAGTCGCAGATTCGACGCTTGGGTCGTTGGAATAATCAATCGATGGAGAAGTACTACCTAACATCGCTCCCTCGTGAAGCGATGCGCACACTAGCCGGATTTGACTCTAGCCGTGGAAGTTATTTTGTTGCGCGAGCCTCCGCAGAACCCCCACAGTGTTTACTAAGGCAGATCTTTCCGCAACTTGAGATGTGGCAACAAGCTCTCGCTGATGGAAACGCGGAGCAGTCTATTGCTGCTGGTGGCATTTTAGATCTCCTTCAGTATTTACGTACAGTGATCCTGCAGTGTTCACCATGACTTAAAGTCATATCTCGAGCAAATCAAGGCTACTTTACGTGTTGTCGAGGGTACAGTTTGTGGAATCAAGCAGATCATTGAACCATTACAAAGCGGTTCCGCCTTACTGCAAGTCAAACTGGTACTGGGTTCACCGATTGTAGCGACTAATAGATGTACGGAGACACTTTTGCAGCCTGTACCACGCACAGACACAGACACAGATACAACCACATCAGTCACTCCAGTTGCCCCTCAATACAAGATGCGCAGAGGCTTTGAAAGTGTATCCGAGCTATGGTCTTAGTGGACTGTTGGAGTGGATGGATGCACGCCTGTACGAGAGCTTGAGCAAAAATACGGTACTAAATGGTGTGATGCGGATGAACGGCGATTCTTCAATCGCAGACGAAAAATTCTTGGTCTTGTTCAAACAATGGTAGAAGAACTTCTTAAAAATCACAACCGCGCGGAAAGCGTAGCAAGTGAAATGGCTGTCCAAGCTATAGATGACTATCGAAGAGGCAAGAGCAAGTCTCGTTGTTCTTCCCCTTATTCATCCAACCAACAATCGCACTCTCAATGATTTCCATATCATCATTTCTCTTACACTTTAACTGACGTGATCCTCATGAGGTACGATCTGGTCATTGCTCAGGAAGGCAAACTTTTGGTCGGCATCAGGAGCGTGAGAAACAGCGAACCAAAGCCAATCGCTTCAGGAGTGAAACTCAGCGCCAAAGTCGAGAACATGTAGAGAGCGAGCGTGAACAGCATGGATCTGGTGCTTCTTCAGAGCGTCCAAATTATCCAGATACACATTGCCATCGTTTTATCCTTTTGCGCAGGGTTCGAACTGCGATCCCCGGAGCCTCTGGTCCGGTACGCAGTTTGAGATTTCCTACTTCAGACCTTAAATTCTTGAAATTGTGGTGTTGTAATGGGGACACGAGATGTACATGTACCGACACATTTATGCACAGTTCAACTTCTACTCAGATCATCTGAGCCATTGACATGTATTTTTAGTTCATTATACACAATAGCATCATAGAACTCGACGACATCACGCTTGTGATGATACGTAATAGCGACTCTCTTGAACTGCTTTGGTGGGTTTCCGTTGTCCTTCGTCCGTGTCCTCCCTATTTGCTGCCCCGGAGTCCGCTTTCGAGGTCTGGAACCGCGCGGAGTGCGCGTCATGGCGCGGTGATGAGGGGCGGTCCTTTGTAGCACATCGCATAGTTTTTACACTGAAGTAGGAGATCTAACCAGTGATGGCAATAGAAAATTCTTTCCATAAAAGGTTCAAACATTTTTTGATTTCAAATTTTTTCAACGAACGTTTGAACATTAAAACGAAGCAAAACCCTTTCTAATCGAATAGAAATGCGTTGGAGCAACTACAGCAGCAACGCTAATAGTAGCCTCGTTCAGGTTGAAGCTTAGATGCGTTTGCGAATCACTTTCCCACTCTTGCTTTAAGAATGGACAATTGGACCTCTAGGAAGCAAGCGCAGATGGAGGATGCACAGGTGATGCTCCGGACGCGGGGTCCCTGTCGACGCTGTCTTTGTTGATCCGAAAGTGCCCAACGAATTACTTGGCCGGAGGTTTGCCGCTTGCTTCTGTCCTCCTGAACGACGTACTTTGGTTTACTAAATAGAGGCCTTTTTTGTCATTTTGGGGATATACTTTCATCAAGTAGCACGTTTTTCGTACTTAGTAATACGGCATTTCGAACGTTTTTGAAAAAAGTTTGAAATCCAATTGAAGTTCGTTTAAACGTTCGTATTGCCATCCCTGATCTAACCTCCTGAGCTGGCGGATCTAAGCGAATTGATTGGCTAAAGCTCGGTCTGAATTAGTAAATCTCTCTGAAGTAGGAGATCTCAAATACGGTACCCAATGGCTAATTCGAATATGATCCAAGGTTGATACAATTCCCATTTGAATACCGATTTGGGAGTCACCCAAAATAACAATCCAGGTTTGAGAAAGGCAGGTAGGTATCTATGCCGAATCTCAAGAGGTCTGTGTACAACTGTCGTCTTCACTCATATCACCGAGTGAAGCGTGAATCAGGATTCCGACTAACACAGCACACTTGCATCTATTTACTGGCACCACATGTGCGAACCTTGCGGTCGCGCAGGCATTACAGGTCCGGCCTTTCCGGATTAGATGGGATGGTGGTTTCCATCACCATCGCATGGAAAGTTGTCAGAACGTGAGTGGATACACAAATGTGTTGTCAGCTTATTACAAGAACATCACTGGTCTATTGCTTGGACTGGTTTGCGTGCTGCCTAGACAGTACTTCTCATGTAGCCAGCAATATCTTGTGAGTGATCAATTATGTTACCACACTGATATTGTGATGAATAGTCTCTATCCATACGTTCGCTTTCGTTACGCTTACATAATAGATTTTCCGATTGCACACAACCATGTCAAAGGCTTGCTACTAAATACAATTAATGTATGTCCACAGTTTGTCTCTATCGTCCACGGTTTAGATACATAAGACATTTCTCCTCTCATGATAGCCATATGACGGCCATGTGGTGATCGGTGCAAATCAAAAATTTGAACACAAACGAAGTTTGCTGTCACGACGATGAACGCAGAGTGTTTGTCGCTCCTTCACGCGATTTTCGCTAAGTCTTTCGGCAATTGCCTAGACTTGTCCACATTCTCAGACGGTGTCGGTGAGACTTGGTGTAGATTGGTGAAGTATGAACGCACGTGTATATTGAATTGTCCTAGCGAAGATAACCATTAGGCTTGTTTATTTTCGTGGAAATGCTGGCATATGTAGCGATACCGAAAGAACTTCATTGCAGCACGAACATTGTCGTCCACACCTACCGGGCGATCGCCTCCGCGGATACAAGCTTCCAACAACAACAGCACCAAAACACCGCAGTTGTACGAGTCAAGTTGCTGCTCCCATAAGAACTGACGGAAACTAAATCGCTTTCGACTCCGTGTCGAAGGCAGCAATGGAACAATCTCGTCTCGCAGAAACGTTTTGATTGCTTCGAAGCGGTCATTTGACTGCTTCGGATCGTAAATTAGAACCTGGTTCTCGGTCAGCCCAACTAGCACCCCACACCAATGCTCCGCCCCATAACAAATTGGAGCAAACAAAAATGGTCACTCTCCGCTGTTGCAGTATCGGCCGCCTCTTTCACTCTCCTTCACACGTCCAAGGCTGATATCTCCTCCGTGCTGTAAACAGGCAGGCGAAAGATATTGGCTGGTATAGTAAAAATAGAGCCCACATCGCGATTCCGAGCCAGCATACTGGAGACCATAAAGTCGATGCACCTTTCCTCCACGCACGACGTGTGGTACAGTGAGGTGATCCAAAACTTTTCATCCAGGACATTCAGGGCCCTTAAGTGCGAGGCCACTTCATCCAGATGCATCAGACCTTCGCCCAGTATGTCTCTCCTGTAGTCCACTGACATAAATCGCAGGTGTTCACCCACTTTATAGCGGCCTCAATCACCTCGAAGTTGGTGATTGCTTCGTGCCATCTACGCATGGCATTCAACGTCTTCACCTCGTAAATTATAGTTCCATACTTAACAGTTAGTCCATGCTGGGGCATCGGGGTACCGTGATCACTTTTCCAGCCGTTTTGAAAAATCGCTATTTCCGTTTTGCAAGATTTCAGGATGGCTGTGGGAAGAACTGTCGTGAGCTGGTGTGGTGGGGTTCCGGGTTTAAGACGTTTTTCGTAGACTCCAATTTGTGCCTTCTTAGGACAGTCCAAAATTGTAAGAGCTCGGAGTTTTGAGGCGTATTCCTTGTACTTTACACCGCATTGAGCAGCGGTCACTAATGTCTCTAGAGAAGCCAAGTTACCCGCCGCTATGGGTTCCACTCGTCGAACAGTCTCCTGCATAGCTTGACGGTCAGCTGCTTTCCTTTTAGCCTGTGTAATCCTTGGTCGACCGGATTTCTTTGTAGTTCCTGGTATCTTCCAGTTCGGTGGTGGGACGAATGAAGACGTTTGTCTGTTCCCTTCGTATTCTCAAGTGAATGTACGGAAGCCTGTTCAGAAACGTCCACAGTCTGGGACTGGGGTACTTGTTTAGACTCGGTCGCAGTTAGACTTGAACATCTGCTCAGGTTTATCCTCGCGGTTCTCGAAATCTTCTTCAGTTAAGTCAAGACAACCCGAATCCATGTCGTTTACAAGAGCTTTCACTGCTCGACCTTGTGGTGACAGCTCGCTGTCCACAGTCTGAGTTAAGTCCACAGTTTCACCAGTTCGAGACTCATGACCAGTCTCGGTATTGTTTGCAATTCGTTTCTCTCTCTGACAGCTCTCGGTATCATTCTCTAGCTCGCTAGTACCAACGGCTCTACACGAGGCTTCCGAAGACAAGCTCCCTCGCGCTTGCTCCACAACTGGACAGGTGCCCGATTTCACTACCGTCAAAAACTTCAACAGCGCGGAAGTCAGAGCATCGTGCTCTGAGATATTCCATTCACAACCAACCTCAGCAATCGATTTGTCTAGAGTGAACAGTTCTCGGAATTTGTCGTTTTCCGATTTAGGGATCCCGGGTCGTCGCTCCTTCATCACTCTCGTTTCGAACTGGTTTTCCACGTCATCAACACCGCGCAAGCTCTTTTGTAGTAGGCGATAGCTTTTCACTAGCCACCGATGATGAACCATACTCTCCACAAGCAACTGGACACACCCTTCTTGCTTACGATAATAAATCATATGTCGACACGCTAGTAGACGCGTAACGTAAAACATGCAGGAGTACGACCAATTCCCCACATTCACCATATACTTATCAGGCACGTCTGCAGAGTCGCCAGACACATACTGCATCATCACATACGGACCAACCGGGTAGCAATGGTATTTCGTATCCGGTCGGACAGCAAACTCGCACTGTTGGCTCACGTACTCAAGAGCATGACATGAAACCAAGAGTGACATTCCGTTGAGGTCCTCATTCAAGCCTGCATTAACGGAAACGTCAACCCTGTTCATTTTGTTCGACCATTTTCGTTCCTTTACCGTCTGCCAGAAAAGGATCGAGACAACGCAGTCGTCAAGAATGGTTGATCGATCCACTAGAGTTCTAAGTTTTCCCCAACCGGACTCGAGCCTGTAACACAAAGTAGATTAGCAACATATCGATAACTCCGGTTCTCGTGCACACACACCTATTGTTAGTGCGGTTACCCAGGTGCGGCGCGTTTCCACGACTGAATGCTGTCCACATCTCCTTGCACGAGGTCCAGTTCGCGTCGAAGTAGTCGAACCAAAGCTGCCGCTTCACGTCGCTCTTTATGACAATCTTTATCGCAGCGATGTATTTATCATAGGAGGCATCCGTTGGGCGCACTGACAAGTAGACGTATCAGCCGCTTCATCTCGCTCTTCGTCCAGGCGTCCATATTATACTTCACCTTCTCTTGCAAATATTTTACGACATGAAAGTGGCACAACAATATCCGGGCATGCGGAAATTCCTCCTCCAGGGCACCGATCTCTGTAAAGTCTTTATCGATGATAATGACGGCAATATCATCGTGAGTCGCACACCCTTCCTTGAATTGCTGACACGCTACACGCAGCGTCTCCTTCCTTTCGTTTTCGAAAAGACAATGCTGTATAAAAGACGTGCACAGTCTGAGTTTCTTTAACAGTCTAGGAACGAAAGCAATTTTGAACATACCTGTACGTGCTGCCCTTTGCCGAGCGCATCGTGGCTCATGAAGCTGAATAATTTGTAGTGAGACACATTAGTACCATGCGTTGCGTCGATCATAAGAACCTCAGGAAAGTTGGCGAACATTGATCGCATATGGCGAGTTTGGATCGAGATACACTCGGCCACTGCCTTAACACCCAAATCACGGTTAGATACCCATTAGCATATTTCGTAGTATCCACAGAGCTCAACCTCGTCATTAGTATCCAAACGGGACAGATTTTCTTTGACGTCAGAAAAGTCCGATAGTATGTGCTCGATCCGCTTCTCCATCGTTGGGTAGTTGTAGCTCTCTTTTTTCAGACGTTGTACAAAGTTGTGCTCGTCCTTCATAGTCGGTTCTACGGTAGAGTTCTCCATAATGTACTCTAAAATTCTTTTTCGGTTCGCCCCACAGCGATGCAGCACACGAACTGTTGACAAAACATCTTCGTCGGAAACTTGGCGGGCCTCATGGTACGTTTGATACACGTCTGGTCCGACGTCGTGGTTGTGTTCTGCAATCTGCTTAGTACCGTATACCTCCCATGTCGTGCTGGTAGTCTGCCGCACGCAAGCATTGATCTGTAAAACCATTACAACATTTCCATCAACTACAACAATAGGAAGCCGTTAGCAGCAGAAGCATTTCAGCTGTGCTTTACAGCCGATAGCTCTGGAGCGTTGATAGGGCCTCGTCCCTTTTAGTTTACGATCCGTTCTCGCCCTTGGACTTCCGGCATGCGTGCACTGGTAAGTCTTGTTGTAGAACTTCAGAAACGAAGGGATTTTGGGAATACCGGACTGCTGATTGTCAATCTTTTTGTTTCTAGTGTACCATGGAGTAGCCGACCTGATAGAATACACCTCCGCACAACAGCACATTCTTAGTTTTGTCCACATTCTCAGACTGTGATCATACCCTAGATTGGGTCACACTCCCGTTCACATACCTGGAATGTGCGAGACGTATACGCTTTCAAGTAACTCTCTAGGGCTTTGCAGCTTTCGAATACGTGGAAATCTAACGCAGAAACCGTCACATGAACGTCGCGGGCATTGATAACATCAGATCCAGCACTTTCGTCTCCCGATTCTTCGGTCTCCCTTGGCCGAGTTCTAGTCCTCCCGTCCTCTTCGCTGCGGTTCGACTCTGCAGATGACCTGGTAGACTCCGCAGAAGAGCTACTGGACACTGAGCGTTGCCTGCGTCGTTTCTTTCGATACTTGCGTTGAGTTTTTTTTTTTGCTGTCTCTGCGCTTCGTTTTGCTTTGCCGGTGTCTCTTGGGTGCTTCGACGGAGATTGCCTGTGTTTCCTACGTGTACGGAAGTCGATCACGTCCGAGTCCACGCTACTCAAGCTACCTCCGGAGCTGGGATTGTCTCGGAAATCCATGGCGGCCGGTGGGGGGGGGAGGGGATTCTCGTCTGGAATCCAGTGGCGGTTTTTTGCTCTGCCCCCTGGCCTTCCTCATACTGTGGCCACAGCGTTTAAAGTATACCGTTTCAAATCAGACTCGGGCGATTTGGCTGGCTGTGACATCAAAACGACAGCATGTATGTGCTCTGTAAAGTTTGTTTCAAAGCTAAAGGAAGTTTAAAATCACGTGAAAGGAAAGTTTGTTTCACACAAATTCATGATAGAAATACCATCAATACCTATGATAGATTAGCTACCTTGGTCTTCTATAAAATGGAAAGTTGCTTGAAAACTCATAAGATTCTATACCGGCTGAAATTGCATCTGTGATTCCCCAACCAATTATAAATTTCACTAACGGACAAGAAAAACAAACACTTGTTGCTTCAGCCAGTTGGATCGAGTTGTATATTAAAGAAACTGCTCCTGTTTCACAGCCGTGGCCCACGGCACGGCCCGTGGGTTATGTGCCATCAAAGGAACTTCTGATCTTCGAAGAGTATGGGAAGAATGTTGTCAGAGGTACTTCGGGCAAAGCACGACTTATTGTGTGATATGAAAGCTGTCTTATATACACAGACAATACAAGTGTTGTGGTCCGGGCACACAAACAAATAATGAATTACTTGTATGTGTTTAAGCATGACCAACAAACCATCGGTCTTGTTGAAAACTATTAAATGCACATGGTCCCCACATGTCAGTACATGTATTTAAAGTGATTTCGGTGTCGGGTGTGCAAACTTAATTTAGATGTAGTCGATGCTTTTGTACTCGACCAAACTGGTCGCTCACATCTCTTTGCTCGAA